CTTTGATGATAATAGACATTTTGGCTGGGTAAAGTAATCTGGGTTGGCATCTGTGGTCATTTAGAACTGGGCATACTTTGTCCAGGCTCTTCTGGCTTTCATAGTTTTCACTGAAAAGTCAGCTGTAATCCTGATGGGTTTTCCTTTATATGTGACTTGTTTTTCTTTTGCAACTTTCAGTATTCTCTCTTTGTTCTGTACATTTAGTGTTTTTTCTATGATGTGCTATGGAGAATTTCTTTTCTTGGCCTGTCTATTTGGTGTTCTATGTGCTTCTTGTATTTGTATGGGCATATCTTTCTTCAATATTGGGTAATTTTCTTCTATGATTCTGTTGAAGATCTGTTCCAAAAGCATTATCTTGAAATTCTTCTCCTTCCCCTATGTCTATGATGCATAAGTTTGGTCTTTTTATGGTCTCATTCAATTACTGCATATTCCATTCTTGTGTTTTCTTTAAACTTTTCATAATCTTTGCCTGAGTGGTCTAGTTCGTTCACTTTATCTTCTATTTTTGATATTCTGTTTTCCATTTCATTCATCCTATTGGTGAGGCTTTCTCCTGTCATTTCTCATTGGCTTATTGAGTATTTCACTTCCTTCTTCATTTCAGCCTAAGTATTCTTCAATATTCTTTTCTGAATTCATTCAGAAGCTTATCCCTATCTTCTTTAGTTCTTTGGTTTGTTTGTGTGTTCTTTAAATTCACTGAATTCTTTTATTATGTTTTTAATTGTTCTTTTGAATTCCATGTCCTGTGTTATCTCTAGGGGTTTCTCATTGTACTCCTCTACAGGACTGTTGGTAATTGATGGGTATACATTATTTGGGTTTTTCGTATTATTAGTTTTTCACTGTGACTTTGACATGTAGATTTCTTCCGTAGTTTCTGATTTTTGTGTGACTCAAGCCTTCCTTTGTTGAGTTTATGTCTGTTTCTGTTTGTAAACTTTATGTGATTTTGTGGTTTTTCTTGTTGGACATGAAAAGCTGGTTGTTCTAGGCTTCAGGTTCTCTCTTTTGATTTTATATTGGAGGGGCCAGATGTCTTTTGTCCTGCTGCTCAGGAGCTTCTACAGAGGCCTAAGTTGGATGAGGATCAGATGTTCTCGAACTTTCTCCCAAAGTCTATATCCCTCTAGTCAGCAGGCACAGTACAATTTGGGAGGATTGCTAGGTAGAGATATGATTCAGGACTCTCAGGCAGTTAAGGAAGGGGAAAGAAAAATCTTCCACAACATAAATAGGCTCAAAGAATTCATGTCCACAAAACCAGCCCTTCAGCGTGTTCTTGAAGCAATACAAAGAGCTGAAGAAAGGATCAATTATACACAAGGGGTAACAGAAAGAAACTTAATGAAGGTATAACTGTGGAAACGAAATGCAGTTACACCAAGAATGTGAACAGAAATCAAAACGAGAGGAATCAATACACAGCTTTCATTAATAACTTTAAATATCAATGGACTGAACTCCCCAGTCAGGAATCCAGAGCAAGCAGGGAAGGAGGCTGGTCTCAGGAATCCGGGTTGAGGATGAGACAGCCAGGGATGAAGGATAGTCTCAGGTATGCAAAGGCGAGGTGGGGAAGGGAACAGGCTTCGAAGGCTCCAGGGGTCTAGACTGAGGAATTGCGGTGGTCTGGGTGCAAAGGATCAAGAAGTAGTGGGGAGTTTGGGCCAAGAGGGTAGTCCAGGGGTCTGGGGTGCCAAGAGAAGAAATGAACAAGTTCCCAATCTAGGAGAAGAGACAGGCCCGAGTTGGCAATGATTTTAAAGTGGTGAAAGAAGACTATTTTGTGATGTGAACACTTTATGGAATCTATATTTTAGTGTTCTTAAGTCCAGTTTGTTTGAACACAGCCAGGCTCATTTGTAAGGTGTTGTGCTTGGCTGCAGGTGTGTACTAACAGCAGAGCTGAGATAATAACATGCTCATGACATAGCTCACAAAGCCTGATCATTAATTATTAGCTACTGTATGGGTACATTGATTGATAAATGGGTTATTTATTTAGAGATATGGTCTTTCTATGTAGCCCAACATGGTCTGCAACTCTCTGTGCCAGCCTAGATTAGCCATAGACTCAAGATCATCCTGCCTCGGTATCCCAAGTGTTAATTACAGACATGTATCACCACACCTGGATCCTACATTTTACATTTCAAAAATATTAACAAATGAGAAAAAACTTTGAAGGGAAAATGTAAGTTCTAATACAAATTTTCATGTACATTCATATAATTAGAATTAAGGTGACATAATATCATAACTCACTTTAAGAAAAAATATGCCTGGGGTGGTGGCATATGTCTTTAATCCCAGCACTGGGGAGGCAGAAGCAGGTGGAGCTCTGTGAGATCAAGGCCAGTCTGGTCTACCCTTCAAGGCCATCTGGGTACAGGGAAACACTGTATCATTTCCCATAAAAAAGAAATAACACAACAGACTAACAAGATGTCACAGTCTTAAGGTGAAGCTATTCATTTATATTAATCACAACTATGTAATTAAAATCCTCAGTGTTGTCCCTGGGAGGATGGTTCAGTAGTTAAAAGCACTGGCTGTTCTTGCAGAAGACCAGGGTTTGAATCCCAGCACCCACATGCAGCTAACAACCATCTGTAACTCCAGTTCCAGGGAATCAAACGTCCTCTTCTGTCCTTTGTGGGCATTGCATGACACATGTGCACTTACACACATGCAGGGCAATACACCCATACACATAAAAATAACATTTTTTTAAAAAAAGAGACATCTAAGGATCTCGGTTCCACAGTGGTTCTAGAATCAGTTCCCTGTGGATACAGAGAGAGACCATGCCTACAAGCACTCATGTGTAAACTACCTATTGCTGCCAGGACTTGTACCAGCTCTCATTAGCATATAACACATGTCCTAACAAATATGTGCCTCTTTGACCCAAGTCAGATTCTGCATATGTTTCCAGGGTCCGAAGTTGCTCATCCTCTGCCTGGTGCAGATGCCCTGGTAAAATGTATTTTTTAGGAGAGAATATAACGGAATATTTACTTTCTGTCATAAAGAACTATCATAGTCATTAAAATTTGTTTAAAATTTCCTATAAGTATGCCATTCAAGTAACATTATTAGTCATTACTAAAACCACTTAATCAAAAGTAACAATGTATTCTATAATATTTTGTTAATGTGGTTTTTCTTCTTTGGCCCAGTTTATGCATTTCTAAATTTAGAGGAATGTGTTACATACTGCCATACAATGCATGTTCTCATTTTCCTTTAAAAAGTATTGCCTAATTATTATGGAATTATTATCTATAGAAAGAAAACCATACTGGTATTTACTGCCAACCAATTTATATATATTATCTCCAGAAAAAAATACCTTCTGGGAAGTGTAATGATCTTTCTTTAACATAAAGGAACTAAAATTCAGAGAGGTTAAGTAACTTGCTCAAGGTGACACAGCCAGGAAGTACAGTCAGAGCATTAACAGCATTATGGTCCTGATCCATGATCCTTCTGATAGGCACCTCCTTGTCCTTACAAATGGGCACATGACCTTGACATTAGGAACGGGAAAGTATGATGCTTTACATTTAGAAAACTGTTTCTGGGTGAGATGAGATGGAAATTCTGAAATATTCATTGCATATATTCACTCTTGTAACATTACATCACACGGGATCACATTAGAACCATTTTAGAGCAAATAGCCAGTGAGCTGTGAATGAATTTTACCTTATAATTGTTTAAAATATATCAAAATCAGCATATTTTGTAACACAAAAAAGCACGTGAAATTTAAATTTCAAGGCCTATAAATAAAGTTTTATTGGAACACAGCTGTGCTCCTTCATTTCTATATGGCTTATGGCTACTTTTGCTCTGGGATAGCAGAGATGAGTCATGACAAAGGACACCATATAAGCTGCTGTCAAGGAGAACATTTATCATTTGGCTCTTTACCCCAAAGAACTAGGATAACTACATTCTGGTAACACAATTTAAGCAGAAAAAGTTTATCAAGCACGAAAATGAAAAATATTCAAAACCCAATAGACGACAATATAATAATGAGCATAATGGAATGTTATTTATTTATTCATCATCTACTATATGTCAATCTGAAATAGGGCAGCTTCCAGCCAAACTGGGTCAGTACTAACCACTAGCTGGTCATTAACATTTTCATCCTAAAATGGGAGGCTCTCCAGGACCGTGTTTTTTTTTTTTTAATTTTTAAATTCTGATTGCTTATTAACCTCTGTTCTAGGAGAATGTTTATATGTGTATGAATGTAGCTAATTGAAATATTTAAGAGATAATTTATAATTTTATTATTTTTCATTCACTTGTTCTGTTAGTAAATTGAGATGGGGTCTCACTATGGGTGCTGGACTTAAAAAACTTGTGATTTTGCTCCTTTAGCTCTCCAAGAAGCTAGAATTATAATTGTGTGCCCTTGTGCCAGGCTAGTAATTTTAAATATACAGCTTTTATTACTGATTACTTTTAAAGTGATAGCTATATTAAATATTAATATTACTTTAGAAGCTTTGGAATATTTACCAAAGTGTATAAAATGCCTGTTGTGATGTTAAGAATTTAAATTACTGATGCCAGTGGATCACTAGGTAATTGGGTTTACATGCATGTTCACTGGCTTTCACTGCTCTGATTGACATGACTTTCATTGGGCTGAACAAACCACGTGAGAATCTGCTAAACAGTTAGAAAGCTAATATAAGCCCCATTTGTGCAGAATTACAAAAAATCTAAGAAAAAGAAAAAGGAAAAAAACTGCGGATCTAAGAATGTAAGATTACCAACTGATTACAAAAAACTTCAGCCAACTCTTAACCATTGAACAACTGAAAGTCATTTCTCACTTCTCCTTCTTCCTTATAAGAACTGAACACAGAAAAGAGGGGCAAACACAGAAGCAGCTACAGACAGCAAACCAGAGGGCAAATCCACACACCAAAACACATGCAGTGTACCATCGTCTCTCATACTTGTTGCGGAAGAGGGTGTGTTGCAACTCAGCAGCCAGTCTGCTGTATTTAAAACAGTCATGTTGTCCCCTGAGAACAGGAACGGTATAAGAGTTCATTGTCTGAAGGCCTGCTGAATGTACTTGAATAATCTTCAGTGATGGCTCCTGCTTCTGACCTTTTAGCAACTACAACTGCACTGTACTCCTTCTACATTTTAGTTTATCAGCTCTGCTTTCATCCACTTAAATATATGGATAGGATGACTCATGAAACTTCAAAGTCTTCTCTCTCAGTGTTTGGGATTTTCAATCTTATTATCTGTATTCAGTTTCAAGTTTAAATGGAAATGCTCTTGTTTCCGTAGTTATGACCAAATATCCTTACACACTTGCAATCCCACATCCATTAATTAGCTGAAATTATAGATGCATGTTTAGAGACAAATAAACAAGGGGAATGTTAATCTACAAAGGGTTTGATATAAAACATTATTAAGTGCAGGGTAAGTTGCAATGCACACAACTTGACAAAGAAAACTATAGATTGCATATTAAATGGGAAGAGGTGTATCAAATGCATAGATATTTCTTCAGAATTTAAAAGAAAATATGATGTGGCAAATGCTGATTTCTGGCAAAGTCCAAAGAATTTACCAAGTAAAACAGATTTCCCATGAATTTGATTTTAAAACCTACCTAAGATCTATAAAATTTCAAAATGATAGTGAATAATTTAAAATAAAATTTGTATATTACTTGTGTGTGCATAAATCCTACAATATTTCTATCTATAGATATTTTGACAGAATTGGATCATATATTCTGACAAGTTTAATATATTCCATGAAAATTATAAAGGAGACTGTTTTAAATGGGAAATTATTGTTACCATATGTTGTGGCATAATTATGACTTTAGGAGAATGAGAAAATTAGCTGGGAAATTGCAATTCTCTTCTGCATAAATGTTAGATAATACAGTATTATTCTCTTTGAAAAGAAAATGCAGCAGATATGGGTGTTTATATTATATTTTAAATAATTCATAACTTTAAAAATTATGAAAAATGTTGGGGTAATGTTTTATTTAAAATTCAAAATAAAATCAACCATAGTATATATGCAAATTTACAAATATATATACACATGTGATATATGTGTTATCTTTTGTCCACAATCTTTAAATTTATAAGGACAAATAAAAAAGGAAACCTTTTTAAATCTTTCAAAATGTTTCTCAGGACGATCTACTCTCACTTTCTCTGAGTGCTCATAGCTATAGAAGAGGGACTCAAATGTCAAGATCTAAGCTAGATTTACTAGCTATATATTCCTTGAATTTACTAGCTATATATTCCTTGAATATAAGTCTAATTACGGTATCAAGAGTAAGATCTCTTCACAGTCCTGAGATGAAATTCAAGCAAACCCTGGAATGTGATTCTGGGCATCCTGGGGATGGCACTTACCTCCTGTCCCATTTGTCGTGACTGAAGTGCTGCTGAGATTGGATTTGTCCAGTTTGGAGCTACCAGGTGTATCACCACCTCCAACCAGCGCATGGGGACTTGCAAGGTCCTGCATTTCCATAGACCTGTTAGAAAAAGAAGCAGCAGAAGTCAGATTTACTTCTTTTCTTTTAATCTTTGTGTATGTGTTCATGTGTATCAGCGTGGACACACATGCACGACCCGCTGGGCGTGGAAGTCAGAGACCCACCTGGGGTATTAGCCCTTACCCTTCCACCTTGGTTGAGACAGAGTCTCTGGATGTTCACTGCTATATACACCAGGCTCGTTGGGTCAGGAACTTCTGAGGAGTCTCCTGTCTCCACTTTCCACCCATATGGGTGCACTGGGATTACATATGTGTGCTACAGAATCTAGCTTTATGTAGGTACTAGGGAACTGAACTCAAGTCTTCACACTTACCCAGTAAGTGTTTTACTCACTGAGCTATCTTCCCAACTCAGCAACTGTTTCTTTATAAAGTCCCTATTATTCTACCAAGCACACATGCAACACTACAAACATCTTAGTTAGCCAGGTGAATATGCCAGTATGTTAAAAATAAAGAAATCTGAACAGATTTTACAGTTAGGCCACATAGTTTGCTCTAAGTGTTCCATGTAACGATGCAGAAAAAGAACAGACTACTCTTTGCAGTTCACGGTGACATGTACATCTGTCTTCCTCAACTGATCACCTCTGCTATTAACAGAGAGAAATGCTGAAAATAACTCCTATAATTCAGCAGCTCCTGCCCCACTAAGGGAGAAATCAATAGCCAAAATAAACTGAACTCAAAGCAGAGAAGATGAGTTGAAGTGCCCATGATGTAGGTGGCTGAGGACCTGAGACACAGTGCTAGAGTTCAGGACATCCACTCTCCACTCGGGAACAGGAGACTCAGATTTGTTTTTGAGAGTGTGCTAGAACTGAGATCCTCAATAAAGCCTAAAAAGATGAACTTCTGACAATATTAAGGGAAGAAAAAGACAAATCTTTGAACATAACTGGAACTTTTACAACATGATTTTCAGAGTGATCAATATACTAGACCAATAAATAAATAAATAAAAATCTTAAAGAAAATCATTATTATGAAAGTGACAACTTACAGGAACTAACAAACAGTAGTTACAGAACATAAGTTGTTTTCAGATAAACATGGAACACCACCAAAAGGACAATGCTGGTCTAGAAAATAAAAATCAATAGATTTTTTTAATTTAAATCTTACAGAATATGCTGTCCAACCACAATTAAGTAATTCAGAAAGCAATGTCAAGATGTTATATAAAAGTCCCCAATGTTCAGAACTGAAACATCACACTTTTTAAGTAATCTACTAATGTCAGTCAATGATAAATTCACAAGTAAATGTAAAAATTTTATTTTAAATAAAATAATAGTGAAAATACATAATTCAAGACTTTTGGTATGCAAGCATAGAGGTAGCTAGTGAGAAATTTGTATTTTTTAAATGGCTACAGCAGAAAAGGGGAGGAATTTATGAATCTGTGATCTAAGTTTCAACCTTAAAACACTAGAAAAAAATGGGGAAGTCAGTAGGAGGAAACAATAAAGAAAAGAAATCATCAAAATGGAAAATCCACAGAAAATACAAATAGTTGCAGTTCCAGATGATCACTAGAGATAACAGTTGTGGTGGTTTGAATGAGAAATGTCCCTCTAGGTTCAAGTATTTGAAGTCTTGGTTCTCAGTCGGTGGTACTGTTTGGAGATTGTGGAACATTTAGGAGGTGTGGACTTGCTGGAGGAAGTATGTCACAGGGTGGAGGGGGGACATGCACCTGTGCACATATATATCCCATGAGCATCTACATACATCGTTTGCACAAATAAAAAGTAAATAATGCATTGATGATATTTTAAAAGATGAAAAAACATCGTGAACATTATAAAAATTAAAACAAGGCTGGGTGCAGTGGTGCACATTCTTAATTCTAGTACTCAGGAGGCAGAATCAAGGCAGACCTTTATGAGTTTGATGTCAGCATGGTCTACTCAGCAAGTTCTAGGCCAGCCAGGGCTACGTAGTGACACCCTGCCTCAAAAAAATTAAAACCAAAAGAAAATTCCAGAGACATAGCTTTATTAGTGAATGCTAGCCTACATTCGAGGAAAAATAATCTTTTAGAAATTCGGTCAGAGGGAACCCTTATTACTCTGTTGTAGAAGAGTAGACTTATCCTGATCTCAAACAAGGCAAAGGTAATTTCAAGAAGAACACCATGGCTCTATATTTTATAAACACAGATGAAAAATCATGTAACTAAATACTAAACTGAATCCAGCAACAAAAAGAAGGTTATCTCATGACCAATGTGGTTTATCCTGGAAATGCGAAGCAGGTTTAACATCTAGAAATGAATGTAATGCAATATATTAGCAAGTATGATTTCTGAGTTTACAGAAATATACTTGATAATATTTATCATTCATTCATGGCACAAATTCTTGGTGACCTATACAAAGAAGGATTTTTCCCTCATCTGATCAAAACTGTCCCTGAAAAATATCTGTGCCTTGTATCACATTTGACTATGAAAATTCTTCCAGAGCGAGGACAGAAAGGTTTGTCTTTGACTCTGGTACAGTATTTTACTAACAATACATACCGTGTAAGATAAAAATAACCATATAAAATAAAGACAGAAAGTTAAACAAAGTTTAGAAGTTTAAGGGAAAAAAGTACCTCTTTAATTCATACAACACAATTTTTCATGTAGACATTTTTGAGAAATTCATGAAAAGAACCCAGAACTGCTAGATCTAATTGGTGAATTTACCAACTTAAACGTATAAGGCCTTTGTCAGTGCTAAACAAAACAAGAAGTAAAAGCATCTTATTTCAGTCAATTTATTACTAGGTCAGACACTGAACTGTCAAGATAACACGTTTGATCAGGGAGCTAGAAGTTGAGCTGTTTGTGGTCCAGCTCAACCCTAGAACATTCTGAATGATCAGATCCTTGTCTTAACTACCAAGGAGAAGAAAAGACTTATGATTTGGGGAAAAGCAACAAAATAAGACAAATACTATGCTTTAGTTTTTATTTTTGTATACAATGTTCAGAAGGCTATAAATTATCTAAGAAATGAGAAAATATCACCCCTAGTGGAGAGAAAGCACATTAGATAAAAGCAGGCCTATATACGACCCAAGCTTAGAATTATCGGACAAGACTTGGAAAGGCCTTCATGATGGGCAACATTCTGTGTGCATGCTGTCAATCATTGCCAGCATCTGTATAATTCTGTGGGGAGAAAAGAATGAATTTTCCTTAATTACAGATAGAAAATCTAAATAGGAATTGATATTATTCAGACAGATGGCAGTGTTTGCATGGCCTAATGACATGAGGAACATTACAAGGGAGTTTAATAGCCATACTGGGAAGAACACCTTTCTATTATCCAGACAGATGCCATGTTAATATTGCCTTTCTTCATCTCCTGAAACCACAGTCATCAATCTAGTAACATATCTGAATTATATGATTATTTCTAGCCAATCACTGAACCTGATGATGGTCTGAAGGATCCTCCCAACTACAGCCCTATAATTACTAATTCAGATTTCTCCTAGATGCCATAATTGGATCTTAGCACAAGCAAAACTCTCTAAGAAGGAAGGCACAGTCTGTGCATTGGAATTTTGAGTTTAAAATATTAAAATAATAATAGTCTGCTGAATGGAGGAGATATTAATGTAAATTTAAAGATTCAGGGAAAGTTTCTCAGAAATTGTTAGCTAGTTTTTGATCAGTTCAAATAAAGAAGCCTGAGGGAGGTATCCAGTCAGTGGTATTATTGAAGCCTTAGAGTAGTTCAGGGGCTCCTAGCCAATTTGGAGCATGTATAAAATGAGTAAGCCAGAAAAGTCAGTCAGGAGTAAGAGAAAGGAGTACACAGCCAGAGAGGATCAGAGAAGAAACAAAATGTTGCTTCTACAAAACAAAGTGACCAATGAAATAAATATAGCTTTGGAATGCTGCCTTCCAATCCACACGAAACCAAAACACATTATCTGGATCTCTACAACATAGTCCCTTTTGGTCAAATTTGTTTTACTGGGTCGATGTTTGAGGCTTCAATGCCACTGACTGGGTGCTTCCCTCAGGGTCCTCTATTTGAATTGATCAATACATCTCTAAAATGATACTTTGATACACAGATTCCCTTTCTATTTGATAATGAGGCACTCGGAGGCTCATGACATTCTCCAAATTACATAGATAGAAGTAGCAACACTGGAACTTGAATTTTGCTCTGAGTCAGAGCCAGGTATTTTCTAATCACATGTTATATGCTTCTCTTTTTAAAGTAACTTTCATTCTTCTATGCTGTAAAAGCCCAATTAAAACTTGTAATAGATTATTCTTAATTTCAAAATTTACTGCCTTCAATACAGGCATCTACTTTGCCCCTATCTAACACTATTCATTCTACTTAAACATGATCTTTCCTCCTAAGATGCCTATTTCAACCATTTTCTAGTGAACCTTCCATCATCAGGCCTTTAAACACTTTTGTCTCTCTGGAAAGTGTAAAAAAGTGAACTTACTCCTACACCTAAATGTTCATTAAAAAAAGAAATGAGAGATTTTTAAAAAAGCCATACAGCTTGTTTCTTGATTCTTTTCTATAATATTTTTAATATCATCATTGGAATTTAATTTGAATGGTCTGAAATTTTGTCTTTGAATCCAAGGAAGGACAAACCTTAAGTTTGTGCACCTTAGAACCTATCCCAACTCTGAAACCGTGATTCACTCTTTGCAGATTCTGGTAATGAGTCATGGCCCTGTTTATTTATAGGTTGGCTCCATCAGCTGTTCAGGACCCAAGAAATACAAAGGCATCCTAGACTCTCTCTTGTCCTGTCATGCCAGCTTTCTCCTTCTGAGCAGACAGTACAGTGGCAAGATTCTAAATCCCCCAGGATTCATCTAACAAAACTGCATTTTGACCATCAATTGGCTAAATGGATATAAAGTCATGGCTTAGGTTTTACTTTGGTCATAAGGGCCTTTATTATGCAATATAATCTTCAGTTCTCCCTAGC